GGCTGGAGCCTTGTGTTGAGTGTGTATTGGATGCTGTTGTTGGGGGTGGGGGGGAGTGAGCAGGGTGAATAGAGGAGGTGTGAAGTGTCTGAGGTGTCAGAGGTGGAACAGCAGCAGTGGGGGTGGGTGAGTCTGCAGCCGATGTTGCAGACATGCATGTGGAAGTCATTTTGTGAGGCATTGGCAGTGCTCCTCTCGGCCCAAAGGAGCAATTACTAATCCTGATGCCCTTCCACCGCCCTGTCCAGCTCTCCCGGTATCTTCTCCACATTGAGACTGTGCTGGGAGACACAGCAAATGCTCTTGTGATGGCATGTATGAACGTTTTGCCCTGAGAGAGCTGGGCTATCAGTGCAACCACAAGGGGCTGCAAGTACATGCCTCTTCAGTTGAGTATGTTTTATAATTACACTGGACTTACATTATATTATCATTACAGGCTATCAACTCATACCAATATGACTCTGTGATGACAAGACTACTGAACCAGCTCAACTTCTACATCATGCCTGTCTTTAATGTGGATGGCTATCGTTTCAGCTGGATTACGGTACTGTAGGCTTTTCTGCTGATCTTTCTATATGTACGTTTTTGAGAGGAAGCTTTTCTTAGAGGGGAAGCACATTTTACATATACATTTTATTGCATTTTTTTGGATTGCTTGCTAAAACCAAGGCAAAGAAAGGAAGCTGGAAGCTTGTTTTTTTCCACCTACAGATTGTAGAATAATTTTAAAGAAAGAAAAAAATGTCTACATATAAACAGGAGAAATAATAATGCAGTTTATGTTATTACATGATATTACATGTTATTATGCTGCTTAATTTATGTTTAATTGTCTATATTTTTTGCTGCATGCAGGAAGAATGAACCTGTTGTTCAGATGTGTTTTACTGACAGTGGACAAGAACGTGTTTTTTTTTTGTTTTGTTTTTTGCCTGCAGGATCGGTTCTGGAGAAAGACACGGTCCAAAAATCACAAGTTCCACTGCAGGGGAGTGGACGCTAACAGAAACTGGAAAGTAAAATGGTGTGGTAGGTAAAATAACACCTGACAAATCTGACTAAGAGTATATATGTGCCCCTATGTGCGTAGGAACAACTACATCCATTTGTTCTCATTTATTCTCTAGAGAGTGAGGACATAGGCTGAAAATAGAATAAAGTTTTTTTGTGATACATCTAAGCACACAGGAGTGGAAGATTTCTTTATACCTCATGAAGAACATCTCTTCAAGGGAACGCTCGGTCATGAATTCACAGCATTTAGAGTTCTGGCATATGACAGTTTGAGAATATGTGCAAAATAAAAGTCTGGAAATGGTGTGAGAAATATACCATAATTAAATGAATTATAGTCTATTTGATTAGTCAGTAATGGACTGCTGTAAAAAGGCATGAAGCAGGACAGAGTGAGCCCAAAGATAGCATTCAGTCTGACTGAAATTCATGGTTTTTCATTTGCCTCTGCTATTTATAGATATATTTAAGAAGGACTTTCAAGTGTAAATGTACTTCATGATAATTGAGCCTTAGAAAAAGTATCCCTGAAATAAACTTTGAAATATGTCTTTTTTTCTCCCATAATTTCTAAAGTAACAAACACATTTCAGACTAATACTAGTCACCTTAGAAGCCCTTTTTACTTCGTAGTTTTAAAAATACGGCTTTAATTAAAACCAGCATGTGTTCAGATGCTTTTCTCTTTACTTTTTTGGGTCAAGGTGAGTGAAACAAGGTTGTCTGCAAAGGATTATAATGTGATCATATTTCAGTCTGTGTCTTTATTAGTTCCCCTTCACGCTGGCATTTGGTTTTCTAGACTTTTCCAGTCTTACTGACCACTCAAAGAGCTTTACACAACAAACCCCATTCATCCATTTACACACATTCACACAGCACTTTATTCTGTGCTCTTAATGCTCTCTAAAGCTCTTTTTTCCCCTCTCACATGGCCACACGTGTGGCCGATTTAGAATCACCTATCCACCAAACACACTTATCTTTGAACTGTGGGAGGAACGCACACACGCTCCACGCAGAAACGCCGCAGGAAAGTTTGTGCCAACAATGCGAACTACTGCTCTACTTCCATTTCTTTACACTTACTGCTTGGTCACTGTTGCTGGATTAAGGATGCCACTTAAAGCATCCTGTATGGTTAGAAGATATGATGACGTGGTTTCATCCTTTATCCCTTTGCTTCCCCAGATGAAGGTGCCTCTTCTCATCCGTGCGATGACACGTATTGCGGTCCCTTCCCCGAATCTGAACCTGAAGTCAAAGCTGTCGCTAAGTTCCTGCGCAAGCACAAGAAACGCGTGGAAGCATACATATCCATTCATGCCTATGCACAAATGCTGCTTTACCCATATTCCTACAAGTATGCCACAATCCCCAACTTCAACTGTGTGGTAAGATATCTATTGCTTAACACTCAGTGAGTTTTATTTTTTTAATTAATCTGAGAGAGCTGCTTAGTACAGATCCTTTGATAGTGTTAAAGAAATGCAGTATGTGAGATGAGCAGGCCTTCTGCTTTCATGCATCCAGGAGTCAGCAGCTCACAATGCAGTGACAGCATTGTACTCTGCCTATGGCGTGAAGTACAGATACGGACCTGCCTCCACAACTCTGTGTGAGTTCCTCGAATCCTTCTAATATTGCGCTCTGGCAATGGAAATGAGCTGTTATTCATTTTAAACTTAGGAGAAAAATGCCAGTTTTCTAATATACAAGATCAATTCAGAGTTGCCTTGAATGTTGCTCTAGAGAGGAGCGATATCTAAACGCTCACCTGCAGCAACAGAAATGGAACGCTTTAAAATCAAAGCTACTTAACTTAAGGTATTCCTGTTTTAAGCTTTCCTTACCCTTGTCTATTTTGCACTTCCTTGCAGACGTCAGCTCAGGAAGCTCTATCGACTGGGCATACAGGAACGGGATCCCCTACGCATTTGCATTTGAGTTGAGGGATACGGGATATTTTGGTTTCCTTCTACCCGAATCCCTAATAAGGCCAACCTGCACTGAGACTATGAGAGCCGTGAAAGCCATCGCATCAGGAGTGCTGAAGAAGTGCAAGACAGATAGGGAGAAATTTCCATATATATGACCACACCCTCCAACTTACCTATCTTAGCACCTAATATTTTCCTGAGATTTCATATTCCGCTCAGATGTTATCAAGCGAAGAACCGACAAAGATCCTCAGAGCGTGAATTTGAATTTGTCGTTCATCTTATTCTCCTTTTTCTGATAACAGCTGATGGTGATGTATTTTTGTGTGCAAACAAACCAAACACTAAAAAACACTTGAACCCTACAGGATCTTTTAAGTAATGCATCTTTTTTAAAAAAGTTTATTTTTTACAGTGAATAGTGGTCATGCGATCACTCATTATGCTACAGCAGCACTTTTATGGTAAAGATAAAGCTAATATTTTTTATGTCTTCTAAAATGTGCTTTATTAAATACAAGTTTAAAAAGAACAATATCTTTAAGCCTGTTTCTATTCTGGTTGTTTTTTTTTATTCTAGGAAATATTCTTACCAAGTGCCACTCTAGATTTTCATAAAATGCGTAAAAACCTTTATTACTAATAATAAATATGCTCAGAGTGGTAAATTTCAGTGTAGATCTTTTTTCTCTCTTTCATTTGGTTCAGACTAACATTTAGAAAGAATGACCTGTGACCTCAGCAGCTTACTGTGTCATTACTCAGGCATGGAAAAAGACAGTGTCTGAAATGTTTACTTGTGCTTGGCTATGTTCTTATCATGAGATCTTTTTAAGTGTCTGACCTGAATAAACGTTGTTTTATAAAACAAAATATATTTTTTGTAATTGAATTTCTGTCTTCTTTGCCTTTCTGCTTGTCCGCTTTTACAGGTGTACATTTTGTTTTGGCCTATTTTCATTTAGTTTGGCCTCTGGCTGCAACTGACATCATTAGAAATAATTCATTCCTAATAGCTTTCATGCAAACATCTACAAGAAGGTTAAAGGTCACGCTTTCAGCCCTCATTTATGTTCTGTCAGTGTTTTGCACACATACTCGTCGCCATGTTTGATGATAAACATCATTGTAGTCAGCAGATGTTTATAATGAATAACGTTCTGACCTTTTTTGATTTAACTAATAGCATTTAATGATCGATTCAAACATCTGCCTCTTATTTTAGTTTCTTCGTAGCCAGTCTGCAGACTCTGCAGCTCTGCTCTTATTTATGGATTCAGAAACGGTTAGCACTGACATGTGGGACAGTCCGATCCAAGTGAAAGTGAACTATACCGCCCACAACTGCCAAATCTGTGTTGTCAAATTGCCAGATTTCCTGGATGTGTTGCACTCTGCTAAAGGCTGTAAAATGCAGTGTAGCACCATCTGAATGTGTGGATATGCACAGTTATGTATGAGGTAAGGCAATAAGCAAAATACCATAAAGATTAAATTGACTGGGAAATTATAACGGAAATTAACCACAGACAAATAAGTTGCCATGTGCAGGGATTTAAAATTGCTCTGCCACCAAAAATGAAGCCTGCGATCACTCTTGAACTGATTTGATACATGAGCAAAACAAAAAGCAGCAACTTGAAATTGTCTTTTTTTAAGGTTTTAAGTTCTGCTGAAATCTTTAAAGAAAACTACATTTGCATTCATTCACGAGTAAAGTGTGTTAACCCCCTCCTCCAAAAAATCTGTGGGTCCTTACAAGGATGACAATCAGATCTATTTACGCTGTATTGTTTCTAAATGTAGAGTTAAGTGGGTCCGTTATGATTAACTGAGAATCCCAAAAGGATCGACTTCAGTTCTGTTTGTGTTAACTGTATCATGATCCCTTCACAGGCTACTACATATTTACTACAATGAAAATGTTTAACAAAATGCCCACAGGGATACCACACACAGGTTTGCTGTAGGTCATGTGCATGTCATGTCAGAGGAAAGTTATGTTTTATTCAACAAAAGACAGCAAACTCTTCTGCTTGGTGGTTTAAGGCACTGTGGCAACATGTTACGCCAGGGCTTTCACACATAGGTTTAATACGACCATGAAGGTTTATATGCAAAGACAGTTTTGCCTCTGTAAACCACCACAGTGAATTTTAAAATCAAACTATCAATATGTGACTGAAGTGCATTAATTACAGACATTCCTATACATTTAATATAAAATTATTTGGACAAACTAATATAATTTTATATATGATGCTTTTAATACTTTGCAGCCAATGAGTGACTGAAGCCTGGACCCTTAGTGCTGTGTTTCCTCTCAAGCTGCTGCTTGTTTGTGGTTCTTCCTGCATTCAGTTTGGCCTTTCATAACTAAAAAGAAAAAAAAGCTCTTCTTGGTGGAAATTAAGTGACTGAATTGGCCTTTAAAGAACATCCCATTTCTTTGATTTGAGAAACTCCTGGGTTGCTTTTGCAGTATGCTTTGGGTCATTATCCACTTGCTCTGTGAAGTTGTGTCTGATCAGTCTTGCAGTATTTGGCTGAAGCAGAGCAGAGAGCGAGATAGAGAACCTTTTACACTTCAATTAAATGAGGTGCCCAGTGCATCAGACTACTGATTTGGCTGACTGAAGCTTTTCCTGTCTCACTTATGGGTTTGTTTAGGTTCCCAGTCCAATAATAGCCTACAATACCTGTGCTGTAATCTCTTTGGGCCTCAAATGTGAAATTCCAGTGAAAATGTATTAATTTTGAGCTTCTGAAACTTGGCAATTTTTTTTTTTAAATGGCTTTAAATCCTAAACATTTAATGCAATTTTTGTGTAAAACCCCTTTAAATGAAGTCTGCTCCTCAGCGGCGGTGCACAGAACCAAAACTACAGAAAAAATGTGTCTTGGTCTAACAAATCGTGGATCTCAGGTGTACATGAATGTGCAGACACAGCTCGGGTGCAGGGACACTCTCATCTCCGTCCTCACTCCCTACTGCCTCACTGCGGCCGCTCTCAAACGTACGTGACGTCGTTTCCTCTCTCAAACATGGCGCAGGAGGCAGGTCGTTAATGGCAATCTGAGGGATTTACCCCACCTTCTGTGTTTATTTATGTTTGTCTGTTAGGGGCTCTGCGGCTGACATTACTAAAGGAATTACATCTCTGTTCGAGGAGGCTGCAGCCCCCCTTGGGACCAGGCACACCTCGCTCCAAATTCCGGTGCGACATGTTTGAGGGCAAAAAGACGAAAAACATGTTCCTTACACGAGCTTTGGAAAAGATCCTGGCCGACAAGGAGGTGAAAAAGGCTCACCATTCCCAATTGCGCAAAGCCTGCGAGGTGGCACTAGGTGAGTTGTGTTGTTTTAGCGTCACGTTGTTGCTGTCTTGGACTCATTGATTTAGACACGTCATGCACCCTTTCACTTATTAACCGGTTATCCTGCAACAATGTCGCAGTGTTTGGCAAGGCACCGTGTGCTTTTCGTTTATTACACGCTGGCTCTTACTCCGGTCTCATTGCCCTGCGTAAGATTTCTGTAAAACCTATGCATTTAATCGACGTGGCACAGGCTCCGTGGAAATGATTCCGTATAAAACACGGAAATGGTGCAGGAGGGGTGGGTGTTTGCAACGCCGAAGCGATGCTGCGAAACTAGTAGCGATCTGTGCACAGGCCGGACATCACAGGGGAAACAAAGTTGTTTAAGGCTGTGTTTCTCTTTAGTCATCACCCTGACACACAAGCACACTCCATATATTCGTCGAGCGTAAACTGTGTTTCTCTAAACTACATGATTTCACTCCACTAAGGTGAGATGTTTGCGTCTCTTCCTGGTACAAAGTGGCCGTGCCCCGGTCAGTACAGGAAGGGCTGAAGACTTTTTAAAATTTTATTTTATTACATCTGTTATTTATTAACCTTTTTACTCGGGTGGCCTCGTCTTCTCTGTAAAACTAGACAATGAAGTCGACTTGGCGAGAAGCTTGAGGTTGACAGTTGTCAGTAGCACCTTTATGCTAGGAATGGTGTCATTTCTAGGGGTGGAGAGAAGATAATTTCCGGTTAGTACAAAAATAAAATTACAATTAGAAGGATTTATACGAATCAAAAGGGAACATCGTTTAATACAGCCTATTAATGATTAATACACGTTATAAATTGTACTTTCTGTTCTTATAAACGTGTTTCTTCGCAATAAACCCAAGATTGATCGGCGTGCTATCTAATTAACCGCGCTTTTATTTTGAAATGAACGTCACTGCACGTCTGTTTGACCTTCTACTACAGGCGTGAGCTTCACTAACGTTTGCTAGCAAGTGTGTCTTGGGAAACATAACCTTAGGGGTGATAATTAGTGGTAAATGTAAATTTTGTAAAACATTATTAACAACAAGGAAATTCACCCCGTAAAACATATATTTTTTCTCATGTTGGAGTTAAAATTAGCTCCATGCAGGCTAGGATTTTTTTTTGTTTAGTTTTTTCCTGGTGAGTAATATGACACAGCTAGAGAAACAAAGAGTCCTGTTGTGAAGCAGCCAAAAATCCTACCTGTCCCAACAGTGCTGCCTTTATCAACACGTGCAGCTGCTGAAGGATTTTGTAGTGGCCTATAGGCAAAATACATGCAGCATATTTGTTTAGACTCTGCTGTGTTGTTTTGTGAAGCTAAACCACCCACATGAATTATATAGCTTTTTGTGCACAGAGCAGTAACATGGTGTTAATTCAGAATAGGAAGCTCTATGTAGCATGGCCTTAAAGCAGACGTACACAATTAGCATGGTTCTGTTCCTGTTATTAGTAGACAGTCGGTGGTGTTTCTTTATCTGGGGGGCTTAGGGACTTGATCTGATGATGTCATCAGTTGGTACTGATTGTCCTTTGCTTCTGATTTTCCTGCTTACCTCGAGGGTTTGATTAAAATGTAGACATTACAGCTGTGAGACAGAAACCAAGCATAAACCACGTGTAGTTTACACGGGCTATGCTTATTCATAAACCATTAAAGTCACCATGGTTACTGGCTGGCATATAGCATTTTAGCAGCTAGTTTGTTCACTACAATATGTTGTCATTCTGATTTAAAAATCGCTGGTTAACACTGAATCCTACTTAGCAGTCAGTGGCGGTGAATCTTCTTTAAAAAGAAAAAACAAAACAAAAAATAAAACCTTTTAACTTCCCAGTGAAGCCGTACGTGGGCGCTATGAAATACGAATCTCTGCAATAAGTGCAGTTGTAGCGGCGATGCAGTAGTGTATCAAAAACAACTGGGTGACCCAGTATACTGCTTGACTTACATAATCCCCTTTAGCTCTTGGAGCTCTGAGACATCTCTGAGAAAGTGCCTGTGCCACACTCTCCTCTCTGCTGTCACTGAAAGTCTTCCTGTTTCACATGGTGTCTGTTAAATACCCGTTATTTTCAGCGTTTTCCCGTCTGCAA